CGGCTGGTGGAAAATATTTTTGGTGGGGCTATGGAAATGGTGACAAAAACGTGTGTGTGTGTGTGTGTGTGCGTGCGCGTGCGCGTGCGCGTGCGCGTGCGTGCGTGCGTGCGTGTATAAAATATAAGCACTGCAGAGATCATTACAGCGTCACAGGTTGTGTCCTTTGCCCTTGAAGTGAAGGTTATGAAAATGAAAAGATGTAAAGCTGATCACAGGCCTGACCGGGTCAGATGTATGCAATCATTTACGCATGAAGTAGAGCATTCGTGGCTGTAAATCACTGTATATTCCAGTTTCTTTTTAATAACACTAATGTCGCTCTATCAGTACTTTGGTAGTAGATTGATTTCAATTCATTTTATATACATTTTTCTTTTCTGAACACTATTATTTCAACATTCGTGGTTTGCGAAAAGCACAGAGTAAATGAAATGTCCAACATTCATGTTGCCTTTAGAATGGGTAACAATAACTTTGCACATTATCACATATTCCTGGTAGATCTCCACTGTTTACCTTTCAATTAAAAAAAATGTACCGCTGTGAGAACTCTCATTCATCCAGGATTGAATTTCATGTCTCGCCGGTACCACACTTACTTTCAATGCAGATTTGTTTCTGGTCTGAATCCATGTTAAGCCCTACATTTAAGATAAAATGTTACTAATCTCCTTTGGGAAATTCAGGAAAGAAAGCTCTCATTTCTCAAAAGGTCAGTGTGCATTACCAAGACAAGTAATCAACTTATAGCGGGACATCTGAATAAACCCCCACCCTGTTATCTCACCAATTACACCCCAACCCCTTCCCTGTGTCCCTCAGGGAAGACCCTAACCATCTGTTCTGCCGGAGCCTCCCTGCTAGGACAGACCAATGTCTCTGCATGCTCAGCTTCAGATGATCGAGTGTGGTGTTCACAGTATCAACTACAAGCATACAGCATACATCAAATCAGGCCTCTAATGGCTGGAACACAATAATCATCTAATGGCAGGAATCCCAGACAGTCTAATCAGTTGTTCATTGGCTTAAAGCCGAACTGACCTCCGGATTTCATGGAAGTCCATTCATAAATGTTGGAGATTTTCTGTTGACAAACTAACACAGAGTTGCATTTCCTGTTTGCTTCTTATTGATTCTATTTGAGCTTCTTAAAAACTTCAGCCAGCTGCACCAGAGCTGTAAGGCTAATCAATGTATGTGATCAAAGGTTCTGAATGTAATGGATTGTATTGATTTAGTGAAAAAGGTTGTGCATTATGTCCCACTTTCAATTTTGTAGCATCTCTATAGCCAGTGGTTTGGATAAAAGCCTGAGCTTCTATTGTTTTTTGTTTTTCTCTGTACGGTTGTTTCCGGTAAAAACAATGCACTCTTCTGCACGTTTTTAATAATAATGATAATAATGCCCTTATGCTATTTGTGTGAAAGCCATATTATGTTATCATCCATTGTTGTTCAAAGTTTGAGCCGAACAGTTGATTTTCTCTGCAGCCAAATCACAACATCAAGCTCCATTTGATACAATTTGCCTTGCCAATACTTTTGTGTGACTGTCCATATTTCTATAGTCCGTCTGTTCATGAAAAAAGCTGTGGAATAGAGCAGTCAGCATCTGTTCATGGTTCCTGAAAGCAGCTGTGAGGCTCAGACTGACCTCTGCACTGGGACGCTGGGGCCAAAATCAATAATGGCATCGTATCACTTATCAGACTGTAACAAGCTGACTGATTGCCTCATCGACTGTTTCTGTAGAGAGCAGAGAGAAAGGAGAGGGAGATCAGACGATAAAAAAGAATAAAGGAAAAATAGTTAACTGGCTTTTGGGGGAAAGGAGATAAAACCCTCTAGTTTACAAATTGAAAACAATACATGATGTTTTCTGTTATTGAACACCAGAGGGAGGCAATACTGATGAAATCTAACTTCAAAACGTTTTTCTTCTTCACAAATTACCTTGGCACTTCACAAAGATATTCAGAGGATAAAAACATGAGTAATGTGGACACAATGAGCAATTGCACAGAGAGGAATTCACTGCTCATCTGAAGGCAGATAAGCTCAGAGACTTGTTTTAATCAACTCTCATGCAGCTCATAAAACCAGCACTAAATCAGGATATTACATAACAACTAAAATCAATATATCACCAAGCTTTACTGCCTTGTTACCTCCTTTCATTTGATCATTTCCTCTGATTGTATCCTCTCCCCTTCCCCTTAAGTTAACATTTGTACCAAAAAAGTCAGTGATTTCACTGTTGTTTAGCTGTCCAACCCACAACTTTGTAAAGAAAGTAAAGTTGGCTTTAAGCACTTAAAAGGGGATGAAATGTCAGTGTTGTATTTACAACATGTTCTCGCTTTCCTACCATTATATCAGACCTGTAGCAGGTTTAATCTAATGTAAATGCTGCAAACACTGGTGTAATTTCCAATCAACAGGTTCACATTTTTGCTTTGTGTTTCTTCTATAGGCCACAGTGAAGAAGAAGAGGCTCAAAGAGAAGCAAGGTCTTGGGATGTTTGCACTCTGCCATTTCCCCGTCTCCCCCGGACATTCAGGCACTGGACGCTGGGCGACACTCTGAGGTAAAGATCCACATAAAAAAAGTAAAACCCCCTCTGCAGACAAAACCCTCCTCTGACGACGTTGACCTTCAGTATCCGCTGACTCATCCGTCCCCCACTTGTCCTACGCCTTTTGTTCTTCCTCACTTTCTCTCCCTCCCTGTCGTTGTTGTTCTTTTTTCTCCTGTCTTTCGGGGGCACTGGGGACATTGATCAATGGTCTGACTTCTTCTTGGTGTGGGCTCAGTTTGGAGTGACCCGCTGTGGTCACTTTGTCACACAGACATTTATGGAAATGGGGGGGGGTCATGGCCTCTGACTTTGAAGTGTCCGGTTAGGGACATGGTTTTGAGATGGATGGCATTTGGAGTGTGTGACACGGTGGGAGAGGGTTTAGAGGAGATGGCGGGTCAAGGGGGAGATGAGGGGTCATGGGGGTCAGGAATTTGAGGCTCAGACTGTGTTGTTCCATACGGCAGCCGGATGACAGCAAAGCATCGGAGAAAATCAGGGAAGTCTGTTTACTGCTGCCACAAAAATACTTTTCTCTACACTTTGTCTTCCTCAAAAAGCTGTTTTTAAACTCATGTGTTTAATCTGCTTTGGATAGCTACAACAAAGTTTTTGTGTTTTGTTTTGGGCCACGAGCAGACACCAAACTCTAGCTCCTTATCATTTCTATCCTCTTAAGGCCTCACAGTAAAGGGCAGTGTTTGTAAGATATGTGGGGTGATAATAATGTGTGGTCCATAGTGCAGCAGCTGTCTTCCTCTTCTCTTTCCAGCGTCTCCATTACAGATCTGCCGTCTCCTCTGCTCTCTGTCTTCTTCCAGTCCAGCTCAGCCTGTCCCAGCCCAGCTGTCCCCTTCCTTCATTAGCCGTCCCACAACAATACCCACCGCCTGCTTGGGCAAAGTCACTTTCAAAGGATAAAAGACTGAAAAAAAGTCTAACTTTTTACTTTATTTTTGGTTGATTCCCGTTTCTTACAAGGAAATCTGCACAAATCCCGACTTTGATGGTAACACTGGATACAAATACTGTATGTGATGTGAAGGATAGAGTTTTTAACCTCTGTGTTCTGATTTAAAGGACTGCAAATGTATGGTTTTGGTTCAGTCCAACCAGCACCCTCTGAGTGTGAGACGTTTCAAATTGCATTAGACCTGCATTCCTCTTTATGGCCAGAAGGGGGCAAATCCACTGCAGGAAGTAGTCTCAATGTTTGAGAAAATGAACATACTTCTCACTGTCTCACTGCTGTCATCACATTGTTTACAGCAGCAGAAGTTCTCATACACTCTCATAAACTCTCTTCTGCTGTATGCTAACTTCCTGGCACAAAACGCAAACTAGAGAATGAGCATATTGACCAGGACTTTTAAAACATGAGAGTAACATGTCAGGCTGGACAGATGGTATAATAAGTTAATATTACCTTTTCGAAGGCTGAGATAAAGAGTCTTGCTGAGTCACACTCAAACACACACACACACACACACACTTGGAAAACACTAAAAAGCTCTCTGGTGTTTTATTTTCGGTGAGGTGGGCTGTGTTAATGGCAGTAAAGTGCCAAGTCAGTGAACAGAAGTGAACTCTCTTCTCACTTGTTAGCGTGGGACCCAGAGGGAGGAACGGGGTCGTTTCTCCAGAAAAAGTGAGAGAGAAATACACACACACACACACACACACACACACACACACACACACACACACACACACACACACACACACACACACACAAAACCCCTCTCCTCCAGCATTACTCAGTCCTCCTACTGGTTTTCCATGGAAGCGCACAAGAGTAGTTAGTGTTGTGCACCACTTAGCATGCAGTGTTTAAACAATGCAAATGCTAACAAGCTGATTTATATAACATTTGTTCTCCATGTTAACTATCTTAGTTTTGTTTGTTAGCATGCTCAGCACTAAAAACGGTAATGGCGGCTCGAGGAAATGTTAGAAAATCACCTAATAAGGATTCAGCCTCCGAGCACCATGGAAATATTTATAAAGATAAAGAAAGAGTTTTTCAATAAAAGTAATGGACTGACCAAAAGAAAACATTGCCATAAGCATAGCGTACAAAATCATGACAAAAGAATTGTCAAGCTTCTTAAGTGCTTACTCTGAAGGTGTCAGAAGATATAAAGATGTATCAACTGGTTGATTGAAAGAGAAATACAATGTCTATTTGCTGCTTTAATATAGCAATAGCATGCCTATTGCACTGCACACCCACCCGTTCCACCTTCACCCTCTCAACTTGACCTCTAAGCTTCAACGAATCACTCAAAATACCTTTTAATTCCCTTTCCACTCATTCAGTCCCCGCGGTCTGTTGACGGCCGATTAATGCATTGCACAGCATAGCATGTGGAGTGTGCAGGAACAAAGATGAGCAGAAGCATGTTATGTAAGTTACCCCATTGGAGTGTATTGACCCCCCCTCTCTGTAGCGACTGCAGCCCTTGATGTAGTCAATGTGTTTGCTAACTGCACTGTAATTTAGCTAAAGGCTTGGATGCTTGACTAGGGATGAGAGGAGGTGTTTCCCTAAATGCCTGGGAGCCATTTAGCTTCCACACAAAGTGGATCATATTTTCTCGAAAGTGTTCAATCTGACACAGGATTGTGTTCATGCAAAGTGTGTGAAAGAGAAGGGGATGGATGAAGCTCAGTCTAAAAAGAGAAGGGGGAGGAGAGCGAGGCAGAGGAGAGTTGTGTGTGTGTTCAAAGAGGGGAACTAGAGGCAGGGGGGCTAGCAGACAAAAGTGAGAGAGGGGAGGGAGGAATGAGGAGGAGGAGGAGGAGGAAGGGGAGGCGGTGCTAAGGCAGACAGCAGGGAAGGAAAGCTGAGAAGAGGAACAGTGGAGTGAAGTGAGTAGAGAGAGGAGGAGAGGACCGGAAAATAAGGGGGCTTCCATTTGAAAGTCCTCGTGTAGGGATATGAAGTCTTGGTGCGCTGCAGATGCAACGGCAGGAAGCTGGAGTTTTGTAGAAAAGAGGTAGACGACGGAAGAAAAGAAGGAGAAACAGGGAGAATCTGAGCCAACAGAGAACTGGAGTGGTTTTTCTTCCAAGAGAGACGAAGACAAGTGAAGGCAACGATGCAGGGCTCTCACTGGGGTGAGTGTGGAGCAAGCAAGAGAGTGTGTGTTGGTCTGTGTGTCTGCATAAGTGTGTGTCTTACATTCTCCAAAATCAGGCTCTCTTTACCTTACCCTTTATCCCAGTTTGGCTTTGTCAAAATGAGGGGGAAATGTGCCTAAGGGAACTTTGTATTCATGAGCAAGTCAGTGTGAAGCCACTTAAGAGGGTGTCAGTTGCCAAAAGGCTAATAATGGAAGGTGTGTAACGGAAAGAGTTGGAGACAAAAGTTGCTTAGCAGGCCCAGTCATGCACACGTCCCTATTTTAACAGGATTTGAGATTAGTTTAGGAATGTCAGAGATATTTTCTTAAATACTGATAAACTGTTCATTTAACTGTTCACATAATGATCCCTGGAAAACCTGGTTTCCTGTCATTTTGCCAGAGATTGAAGACAGCTGGATGATTCAGAGTCAGCTGACATGAAGTTAGTTTCTAAAGTTGTTACGACTGTAGCTGACCCTGCAGCCTTTTGGCCTACTCCATCTGGGACAAACAGAATTACTGGGATGTGTTGAGGTGGGATGATGAGTTTTTGGGGGTGTTTATGAGCCCAGGTTTTTCTAATCCAAACCCTGGGTAATCTGCTCATTTCAGGCCGTTGGGGTATTGATTTGAAACTTTAGCCTTTGGAAAAGCTGTCTCACCCTCTGGACAGTTGGCCTGGAAGAGCTAAGAAGAAAGAGGAGGAGGAGGGTGGTGTTTTTCAATCTGTCTGCGCACACACTCACATTCAAGATAAGAAGGAGCATGAGGCAGCAGATACATTTCTTCCAGAGCAGACAATTAGACTGCATCTCAGAAGTGTGGCCCATACGAAACATGTTTTTATCCAGAAGGCTCTAAGGGAATCTTTTTGATGACGAAGCACTTTTGGAGACACGGGCTGCAGTTGTTTCTCTTCTGTCTTGCCTTTGCGTGTAATTACAAGACTCCTCGTGTGCCCTGGGCCACATATTGTAGTTTCTCATCAAGTTTGTTATGGACCCAAGAGTGACGTGTCAGCAGATATGTTTATAGTCAAGGCGGTTTCTATTCACTCAACTTTTCAGAGTAGCGGTTTGACCGTGTCATGTTGAGGTTTCATTTAAGACAAGACTGTAATTACGTAGTCTGGATTTTGGCAGGGTCATACAGAGTGACGTTCCACTCCATAAACAAAATGGCTTTAAATGGGCAGGTGTCAAGAAACAAACGCTGACATTAAGTTTAATTCGAGGGGAGTGAGAGTGGCGGACAGATAGCCGAGAAGATGGGTGACCTCATCTGCTCTGAACAAAACAAATGAGGTAAATGTGTCTCACGTGTTGCCGGTTACATACGTAACCCTTTCCAGCCATGTTGACTCAGACTTCCTGTGTTTGTGCAGATGTGTACTGTATATGAACATCATTAAAGGTGGTAAAGTAGCTCCATAGAGTGAGATCTCTTTTACCTCAGTTTTTCCTTACCTTTCATCCTTTTTCTCTAGGGTCCCATAGCCTGGATTAGGTTGGTAAAATAAATGTGTTAGGTTCGGCAAACAAATACTTTATTGCATTCACTCTTACCTCCCTCAAAGAAGTTATATTTTCCTTCTGGTTTGTTTGTTGGTATATATTTTGAGCAGGATAACTGAATAACTACTGACCTGATTGTCATGCAAATTAAAGGAAGGATGTAGCATGGGCCAAGTAAGAATCCCCTTCAACTTTCATAGTGGTTCTGAATCACAGGGCAGATACACAAATGATTTTTCCTTTCGTTTACATCACAAGATATGGCATTTTGCCTTAGATCGTCTTATTTGCTTCATTAGCACCAAACGGACACGTTAAAGGATTCAATACTGGATTCGGATTCAATTTGACTTCCAACCCTGGCTAT